TATATACATCTTAAACAGTTGCGTTACGGAGGTGCTTGTGTATCGGGTTTTGTGCCCCATTATTAAATACATCTTTAACAATTTGATTTCAACGTGTATGATTTTGTTTTTGCGTTAGGGAGGTGCTTGGGTATCGGGTTTTGTGCCCCATTATTAAGTACATCTTAGACAATTTGATTTCAATATGTTTTTTTGTGTGTGTTTTTGCGTTAGGGAGGTGTACGTTCCAACCGTTCAGCATAGTGGAAATCCGTGTAGCAGCATAAAGCGACTTGAAGTATGCACACCGATTGTTTTCTTGTATGATAAACTGATAGGGCCAGACGCGTGTAAGCTGTAGTCCTCACGTACAGAATGTGATTAACAAGAAGTTCACGTCGGGTTAAAGCACTTAAAAAGAGCACTTAAAGAGGTTAAAGCGTTCGCTCGTCACGCCGAAAACCAGGGTTCGATTCTCCACAGGCATACAATGTGTCCCCCCGCCGTGATATTGCTGGAATAGTGCTAAAAGCGGAGTAAAACTAAAATATGTACTTGGAAAATGAAAATGCAGGTAATTCCATCCCATTTGATTGGCCGTTTAAGAAAAAAATAACGTTTATAAACTTTCTAACTTCACAACGTACACTAGGCCACGCCTACTGACTGACTCATGTTTCTTAATTGGTTAATAACGAAGTTTGAGTTGCATTGTGAGCACTGAACCATTTAATTGACTACATAGTGTTTTGTGCTGCCAACTTCAAATTGTTAGATATTAGGTTGATTATTTTGCTTATATTGAGGTTGTAAAATCGGTGTTCACACACAAAATGTATGTTTCTTGTTTAACGCTGCACTCAGCAATATTCCAGCTTTGTGGTGGCCAGTAGCTAATGGAGTCTGGGCCACACAATCCAGTGATCAACAGCATGAGCATCGATGTACACATTTGGGATACGATGACATGTGTCAACCAAGACAGCGAGCCTGACCACACGATCCCGTGAGTCGCCTCTAACGACGAGCATAGGTTACTGAAGACCAGTTCTAACCCGGATCTTCCCGAGATCGCCAAAAAATAATGTTCCCAAGAATAATAATAATAACATCAAATCCAATCAAACATTGATAAATATGTGGGGTTCACGTGCACAGTGGATGAACGTCGTTATTTTTTCTCATCTTAAGATTCGGGTTATCGCTAATACGAATCAATGGATTGTTTTGTGTCTTTCAAACTAACCGTTATCAAAACTGGTTTTGTCAAGCAAGGAAGAGGACTGTTTATGGCAACCGTGGCATCATATCAATAGTACTGTTGCTGGGATATTCCGTTCATCTGCCATGTTGAATGATGTTTTTCCAGCAAAACGTGATTTGTCTGTCATGAAGAAGGTTAATGATCTATGCTTGAAATGAAGGGAACGATTAACGTTGATGATCTCTGTTGGAAAAAGATGAATGCTCGACTTCAAGGTGCGAATGCGGGTGAGGATGCGGTGACCGGTGTGGGTGCGAGTAAGGGTGAGGGTGCGGGTGCAGTGGCCGGTGTGTTTGTGAGTAGGGATGAGGATACGGGTGCAGTGGCCGGCTTGGGTGCGAGTAAGGGTGAGTTTGCGGATGCGGTGTCCGGTGTGGGTGCGAGTAAGGGTGAGGTTGCGGTGGCCGGTGTGGGTGCGAGTAAGGGTGAGGGTGCGGGTGCGGGTGCAGCGGCCGGTGTGTTTGTGAGTAGGGATGAGGATACGGGTGCAGTGGCCGGTGTGGGTGCGAGTAAGGGTGAGGGTGCGGATGCGGTGTCCGGTGTGGGTGCGAGTAAAGGTTCGGATGCGTGGCCGGTGTGGGTGCGAGTAAGAGTCGAGAATACGAGTGCAGTGGCCGGTGTGGGTGCAAGTAGGGGTGCGGGTGCGGGTGCGGGGCTGGCGTGGGTGCGAGTAAGGGTGAGGGTGCGTGTGCAGTGGCCAGTGTTGGTCTGGGTGTGAGTGAGGGCGAGTGAGAACAGAAACGTTTTCGTCAAAATGTGAGTATGCTATTCAAATAAATGATATTCCACACATATTAAAAGCGCGCCCTTCCATGGTCCTCTTCCACATGATTTCCCTGAACTATTGCAGAATATTGCCGTCTTTCACCATTTATTGCGCCACTTGCCCTTACAAAATATCATTTTGGGATGATATATTTTCTGATTTTGTTTGCAGGCATGCAAGTACAGAACCTGACGACCCATGCCAACACACCTAACTATATCTCATTTCAACAGCGTCGTGAGCGTGATACATCATCGTTTACGTTGTCATTTCAGCTTTGTTGAATTGGTTATGATGGATCGATGTGATGAAGAGGTCTAACAATAAACCTGGTTTGGAATGAAAAGCTGACGAGCCATAGTCTTCGAATTGCCTGTAAGTGTCGACACAAACCGCATCAGCAATGTCCTGATCAACATCTAATGTATAAAAAATACGTCACCAACAGGGACCCGGAGCTTGGAGCAACTCTTTACTGAAGCATATATACAGGGATCACAATGACAAATATATCGGTTATCAATACCACCGAATATAAAATAGCTTCATACATAGACTTTTATATCGCTCCAATTTTGGTTGTCATGGGGACAGTATGTAACGTTTTGGTTGTCATGGTGATGCAGAGCCGTTTTTTCAGGAATGTATCAACCTCATTTTACATGAGCGTGAATGCCATCACAGACATTGCAAGCCTCGTTATCGCTCTGCCCGTCCATTGGCTGTACGTAAATTACCCATGGATTTTCTTTCGAAACCGTCATTTTGACGACATGTGCAAATTTTTCAACTTCTTCGGATGGGGGTCCAGTGACTTCGGAATCATTTTGACCGTTGCTATGACAACAGAAAGAGCAATTGCAGTGACATTTCCTTTGAAAGCCAGTAAATGGTGCAGCAGGAAACGGGCAAGGATTGTGATTCTTTCGCTCTTGCTCGTCATCATAATAAAGGAACTCCATTTCTTGTTCAGGTCTGTTATTGTCCCGAAAGATCAGACAGATGTGCTCTGTAATGTTGATTTAAGCGAACCCCATTATCACTATTTTTATACACGTGTCTGGCCATGGGTCCACAACATGTTTCTTCTTCTTTCCTTTTCCATAATCATCATAAGCAATCTTGTGATTTTTAAGAATGTGAGGAAATCGGGAAACAGTACCGTTTCCGGCACAGGTCAAAAGAGTGTAAGGAACAAGACGAAGATGGACTCCCGAGGTCGGCAACTGTCCGTCATGCTCATAATAGATTCATTTATGATTGTCGCATGCACAGTCCCTTTCTCCATTTTTACGACTTTCCCAAACACGCTATCGGATTTCGGCAGCTCTCCGCAACAACAAGGATTGGGCAAACTGTTATATGGGATATCGTTCTATTTGCTTTATATTAACAGGTGTGCGAATTTCTACCTGTATTGCGTCAGTGGTGGAAGATTTAGATTGGCACTTAAACAGATTGTGCGTTGCCACAGACTTGCTCAGCCAAGGCGGAGTCTCATTGGAACCATTAGCAGATCCAGTGTGAATGATGACTCATCGGCAAACGGAAGACGGAGTTCCCAGTATATGAGCACGTCTGACATTGTGTCAAACCTACCTGATCATTCACAGCATCTGTGATTATGTCCAAGATGAACTGTTGTAAATACCTATAGTTGTTTTGTGAAGCATCAATACATCAATACATCGGTGAGTACATCAATACCTAGAGCAGGTTTCTGGTGTCTATTATATGTTTTCCACCTCGAGCAGAATAAAGTATGCACATGGCTTTAGTTTCACCACTTGCTCCCAAATGTGCTTACAGTACGATGTTAAAATGTGCCTCAGTATTACGTATTTTAAATTATGTACGATGCATCAATACATCGGTTGATACATCAATTGATACATGAATACCTTTGTGAGTTGTATGATACATCAATACATCAGTAGAAACATCTATGCCCATAGCAGTTTTATACTATGTCTATTACATATGTTCCACTTCTAGCAAAATAAATTATGCACATGGCTTTGGATTTTAATTTCTACACGTGCTCCTGAATGTGCCCAAGGTACGCGAGATCGATGGGTAAGTGAGTATGATCCCGTCCTGTTTCTGGACTGAGGTGTGTTATAGGCACTAGTTTACTAAACATTTCTCGTAATATATATAATGCAATACTCTCAACAATACTATCAGCCCTCAGGGAAGCTACCATATAATTTATTAACAAACCCCCTGACGTAATTATTACCAGATTTTCACCTTATATTTCCAATTATATTTCTGAAAAGGGTTTAATAATCACAAAGGGGAATCTTTTATTGAAAATGCAAATAAAGTTTATATAAAAAAACAGTTACATTAAACCCGAAGCAGAAACTCAAGAATGACTTTAAAATATTTCTCACACTGAACATTCGTGTAACCTTGCTGTCATACCCCAACTGGAATTTTAAATGAATTCGCTAAAAAAATACATGAATGACCAAAACAAGTCAGACTAAACTATTTCCAGAGATGTGAACTATATGCCCAATGTTAAAATTAAAGTTGATTAGTTATATACAGATAGAATATTGTTGTTTTGAAACGCGTAGCGATTTATAACTACAGTTCCTAAAACTGTTGGAAGCGCACGTACAATCACCAAAACAAGCCCTCAAGATCGTCAGAAATACACTCAGTTGGACCAGTGAGCCGTTATGTCAACAAGCACACATTCTTGTATTTGAATCTCTCACAGTCAATCGCATGCACTTTATATAAAAAACTTCACACTAGACAGCACAATTCTGTTAGCTACGTTCTTAGTACTTTCAATATGACGATACATATTTTTCATCATTTTTAAAACAATAACAGTATGCCATAAACGATTTAAGTAGTCGGGATTATTTTTATCAAAGCACCGCAACTATTACGCGCGTTCTGATTGGTTTGCCGTATTTTCGCACATAACAAGCATCGAGTTTCAATTATCGATTCCAGGCAAGTCGTAAGGGATTATTAGTCTTTTATTGCATCAAGAGGAAGCTTCAGTGAGTGCATATGCTGAAATGTATATGATATAAAACAAAATATTGTCGAAAATATATGAAATTGTACCTTTAATGAAGTGTACTAGAATTACCGTGATGGTGAATCCAGGATTTGTCCTGATTATCTCATAATCTTAGTCAGTAGTACTTATGGTTTTAAGGCAGTAAACGCCTGCGACTTAATAGCCTCCTGCACATAGTGATATACCTTTAACCCATATCAGCAATATTTATACTAATTATGTATACATTGTGCCCAGTATCCATCATATGACACTCGTAATATGTACAATATGTACACACAAAAAGAAGAGTCATATAATACAGATGTGCTCAACAGAGAGTCAATCGAGGGATCCCTGACATAGGTGATGTGATCATTTAAAACAGTTCCGGCTGAAGAGACTTGGATTTTCTACATTTTGCTGGCACGCAGATTTTAAAGAAAGTTGATTTGAAGCTCCGACAGGAAACGAATTTTGCTTATGCTGTGAGTGTGGAAAGGTTTTGCAGACAAATTTGATGTCTTTCTCGTGTGACGTCTTGACATATGAAGGCAAGGTTACTTATTGTGACAGATATTATGATGTCATCAGAAAATCCAAATGGAATCTCAGCAGTTGTTCCGATAGTCAAAAGATTGAATCGTTTTTGCTGTCGTTGAGCTCGAGATATTTGACCACCATGTAGCTTGTTGATCATAATTAGCATTTCTATGTTCCATTGATATTTACAGCTCTTGTCAAGTCAGACCGACAGATTCTTTTTTTCTGTTTTATCATGTGTCACAGAAAACATTGTTCACTGGATACTGACATGTCTAAAAATGTTATTTTCTGACGCTTCCGTTTAGATGAAACATAAATGTCAAGACTATTGTGTGATTAGTCAATTAAAAAATAAACAGCTGGTCCTAGGAAACACGTATTGCCCGCTCCAGATTTTGCCAGAACACTTCTTGACCATCCTGATCATCCGTGTACTCTACATAGGAATCTTGACGCATCAACTCCACAATGTCAGGGGTCAGGTCCTTCAAAGGGATGTTCTCCAGTACAACAACCAGCAGGGTGTTCCGTCCTGTGTAGATACTCTCCATCTTAGCCATCTCCACTTCGTACTTACACCAGTAGCTCCTCAAGAAGTGTCTTGACAAGACAATCACCGTCTTCCTGCTGGATTTCACGGCGTTCAGGATGTTGGCAGCGATAGCCTCCCCAACGAGAAAGTCTCGGTGATGAATACAGAGCTTTAGACCTTGCATCTCTTCAAGCCTCTGCCTCATGTTCCTAACTACAAGTCCACGGTCCTCATCAGCGTAGGATATGAAGGCATCAAACTCGAACTCCTGTTCCTCCTCTTCTACAGGCAGGTAGCCTCTGTGTCGGTTCCGTGCAACGTAGTAGAGGTACCTCAGTTTCCACCTGTATCTGTACACGATGCTTGTCACGGCAAATGTCAGGACCAGCATGATGAGACTGAGCATCCCAATCACCACCCCAGTGTAGGATGCACAGCTCTTCTCCAGTTCCATTATGATCTCTTGTAGGTTGCTCATGTTTTTCTGGCCACCATTTGACCCTGTACAGAGTAGATCTTGAACATCATAAACACTACTTCGTTTGATGTTTAGCCACTTCAAGAAGCTTAGTGTTTCACATGTACATGTCCATGGGTTTTTATGAAGCTTCATTTTCAGTCCTTTGCTCCCATTGTCATCAATCTGATTTCTAAAGGTTACATCAAGCAGCTCAAAGAGATTATCGGAGAGATCTAAAAGTTCCAAGTTGATCAGGTCCCCAATATTGGCATTCCACGTATTTAAATAGTTGGACCCAACACTCAAGAACTGAAGATTTTCTAAGCCCTTAAAAACGTCCCTTGGAAGAGTACTCAGTTTATTATTTGATAGATCCAGGTGTTCCAGCTTGAACAGCTTACTAAATGTTTCATCATGCAATGTATAGCCAAAATAATTGAAGCTTATGTTCAGTACTCTCAGGGAAATAAAATAATCAAAGAAGTGTCTGTCAATATAATCACAATAATTGTGTGACGCATCAATGACTTCAAGATGATCAAGCCCAATAACTGGTCCAAACGCCTGTGTAAAGAAATTATATGACAGATCCAAAACCTTTAGTCTGTTTTTACCAAATGTCACTCTAGGGATGGTGTATCTCAGTTTCGAGTTGCTAACGTTTGTATATGTTGCATTCGGTGGAACATGAATTGTGAAATTCCCTGGCCATGGTGGGCCACCAACTGAAAGATCTTCAAATAGAGTAAAACTATGTTTCGTGAACTTAGTGACTGGACACAATGACCTACAACTTTCCCAAGCTTGTGAGGTGTCGTCATGATCCATATAAGGGTTTGCGTCGAAGTCAGTTAGGAAAGAATCAAGCTGAGCTTCTGACTGTACTGTAAATGGACTAGCATGGGACAAATGACCTGAGGAAACATCCACAAACTGCAAGTTGGTCAGTGATGTCATTGTTAGAAGATACAAACCAAACGAAAACATGTTTTTTCGCAAAAAGACAACTTTCAGGGTCCGTGGCATGAGGACGGGAACTCTAGGATCCAGTAATTCTATCCGGTTATCATCCAAATGTAATTCCTCAAGGACCATACCAGACATGTATTTGACGTGTTGCACAGTTACGAGATGGCCGATACCTCGATATCTGTACAGTTTATTTGCTCTTAGAATTTTCAGTGAAGAATTACGAAGACCATACAAACTCGCAGAAGCCTTGTCTAATCCAAGATCGGAATTTTGGGACATGTCTAACATGTGAATGTTTTGGAGAGGTTCAAATGCAGATTGACCAATATCAGTTATTTCACAATTTGTAATGTCTAAGTGTGTTATTCTCTTTAGATAGCGGAATGTTTCATTCAACACGTCCCTCATGTTGCAGTTTCCTCCAATCTTCAGTGTCGTGATGTTGGTGTATTTAAATCCTTCTCCAAACGTTCGATTTCTCAGCCCATCAATGTGAAGTTCCTCAAGGGAAATTAGATCCTGGAAAGTTTCATCTGGGTACTGGAGTAAATATATTTCTGTTTGTGAATTATCAAGTTGTCCTTCAAATTCTACCGGAGAATTATTTTCCATTTTCAAAACCTTCAGTTTCTTCTGGAACCGGAACAGTCCTTTTGGATAAACACTTTTACACAAAGATAGATGATTATTGCTAAGCATTAGAACGTGTAAACCTGTCAGTTCAACAAAATCGTTTCTCCTGAGCTTGTAGAGTTTGTTGAATGACACATCCAGGCGTTTTAAAGAGGTATACCTCTTCAGTTGTTTACCAATATTTGTCATTCTGTTATGACTCAGACTCAGCTCTGTGATATTGTATGGGAGGTGACCGGGAACGGATGACAAGTTTCTGTTTGTACAATCTGCAATAATGGTGTGTTTGCTTTCAGAACACTGACATGGCTGACAATCGAGACTTGATCCACCTGTTACCAGGGCCACTGTTAAACACAAGACCTGTAAACAATAAGCCATGTGCAAGTGATTTGAAAATCCATACACTTTCTCATTTATGGCAAAAAGGCATTCTGAATAACATCAATCCACCAAACTATGAAATGGTCTTAAAATTAATGAAATGAGACTCATAGGTGTTTGGGAGACGTGATATAAACCCAGAGGTAGTTAATAGCGTTAACTCAATCTGAAAAAATGGGTTACCACACACAATCCCTCGTCCTCTAACCTCCCAGATTTGAAACAGGCAAATGACCCCAAGTGATATTCCGGGATGTACTAATGAACACTGAAGGAATTCTACGCTCTTACATTCATCACTTAACCACTTTTTCATCTTGCCTTCACCTGATTATTTTTAAAGTATTTGATGTGGAATGATGATATAAGTATTTGATACTAACATTTACTTGGGGATTAGGATTTTATAATAATGCGCTTCCCTCACTACATAGACCACATTCGCTCTGCACCTCTGGGGCCTTAGAGCGGAGGTGAGGTGAAATTGGGTTTAACGTCGTGCTTGAGAATATTTCGCTCATATGACGACGTGCATGCGTGTGTATGTGTATGTGCGGCTGCTTTTACTAGCCCAGACTTAAGCTGATTTTATAGTGCTAGCCCACCGAGAAGCATAAATACGCCGCAGCGAAGCATGAATACCCCACTCAGACACATTATACTGACTCCGAGACGACCAGTCCTTGTTGTACACATTAATGCCGAGCGTCAGGCAAGGACCAACAAGTACCATGTTTTAACGTCTTTTGGTATGACGCGGTCGGGGATCGAGGGGCCTTAGAGCCGTATAGTCGCAGAACCTCATTATTCTCCCTTCCGCCCAACCCCTTTGTGCAATGCATAAAAGCAAAATGAAGCAAGGCTAGATTTCCTCTGGTTTTGGATCCCCGATCTAACCGGGGCACATTTTCAATTTAAATGGAGATAATTGTTTCTGTCAAAATTACCTATTTACAGAGACTAAGCTTTAGTTTTACGCTCCAGGATCCTGGAATCAAGGGTTGAAAGATGTCCTGGTCATGGTTATCGGTTTGTGAGATTTTCTCCCTTTTCAGACAGCTATTGCTTGCCCAGAATAATTATAATCGATTGATTTGTGACAACCACTGAAGTAGTGAGTGAAAATAACTATTTTAACTTGTACAGTAAGTGCTCGGTTATTCTTTTCTGACGTGTCGCTTTTTGACGCAGCAGTGAGCTATATCGTATTAATTGGTAAAGTAAATGTAAAGTGATCAAAAAATGGCTCACAGCCAGAGCGTGACTTCCTGATATTTTGCTGGGCGCGGCGTTAAACAAACAAACAAATTAGAACCAGTTACTATTTCGGCAAACATGTTGCAGATTACTTAAGCTCTCATAATGCCCATGTATGTGATGACTGTATTAATGCAGATGAATTACTTGGTACTGGTATCACTGATAATGAGATTCTTTGAGCAATTAATAGTCTGAAAATTGGGAAATCTTGTACTTACAAAAACATGGCGATCCATAGTTGAAGTCGTCAAAGCTGTTTAGTAACACGCATTAGCGTCTTCAGATGACGGCGCTATGTACACAAGTGAGGCTTTTATGTGAATGTTTGGACACAAACTTCCTGGTGTTATCTTCTCGATAGGATACCCTTGTCTGCCACCACCCTGAAGTGAATTAACAAATGCTGTTGCAGGGCTGTAGTTAACTTTTCTTAATGGGGTGTGGGATGTGGGGTGGATGAACTATCCATGTTCGAGGCCGAGGTTCTAGTGGGCTCCGTGAATCTTTTTAGATTAGATACCCTCAGATGCAATTTCCTGCTTTCTGAAGGTACAATGACTCTATGTTATCTCCAATTTGATATAAAATATTATTTCCTGCTACGTTTGACCACATTTTTTCAATGTTTTTTAAACAAAATGTCTTTGTTCAAAATTGTAGCATTTGTACATAAAGTTCTAAACTTTATAAATATGTTCATGCATATCTGTATACATGCAAAATAATTGTTTTGTCGGTATGAATATACAAGTATCTATATACAATAGTTGTATTATTAAATTCAGTTGACAGTCCAGAAATTGCACGTGAAAGTTACATCACCTACATGATAACTTCAGGTTTGTTCAATATTACTCACACACTCAGTTTACTCATTGCAACTTAACAAGAAAAGTCAGTCACAAAGATTGCTTTATTTATGATCAACCATGAAATTAGCACATTTACAGTTCCAAGGGAATGTCAAAATGATTTTGACTCCATTATACACTGCTAGCTGTATCTGAAATTCCTCCCCTATTAGGAATAGTTAACTACGGCCCTCGGTACCAATCATCAGTCATATGGTCTGACCGCAATCTGTGCAGCATTAATTGAGGTTGTGATTAAATGAGTTGTGGACAATTCGGGGGTGGGGGAATGGGGAAGATCCCCCCCCCCCCCCTCCCTCTCTCTTGTGTCAAACCTACCTGATCATTCACAGCATCTGTGATAATGTCCAAGATGAACTGTTGTAAATACCTATAGTTGTTTTGTGAAGCATCAATACATCGGTGATTACATCAATACCTAGAGCAGGTTTCTGGTGTCTATTGTATGTTTCCCACCTCGAGCAGAATAAAGTATGCACCTCGCTTTAGTTTCACCACTTGCTCCTAAATGTGCCTAAGGTACGATGTTAAAATGCGCCTCAGTACATCAATACGTATCTTAAATTATGTACGATGCATCAATACATCAATTGATACATCAATTGATACACCAATACCTTTGTGAGTTTTATGATACATCAATACATCAGTTGCAACATCAATACCTATAGCAGTTTTATGTTACGTCTATTATATATTTGCCACTTCGAGTAGAATAAATTAAGCACATGGCTTTGGATTTTAATTTGTACACGTGCTTTAAGATGTGCCCAAGGTATGCAAGATCGATTGAGAAGGACAAGGATGATCCGTCTTGTTTCTGGATCATCCCTCGGGGAAGCTACCATATAATTTATGGCAAGTGTTCTCTGTTCGCCTCTAAGTTTCAATTATTGATTTCAGGCAAGTCGTAAGGGATATTAAGTCTTTTATTGCATCAACAGGAAGCTAAAGTGTGTGCATATGCCGAAGTATATATACTAAGAAGCAAAAGAAACGTCAGTTTGGAATATTTCCTTCGCAGAAACGAATAACTGTAAACTCATATAATGTTTAGATTGTATATTTTTGACAGCATCTCCAACTTTACCTGAGCAAAGACATTCCTTCCCAAACTCAGAATGGAACCTAGGAAATGGCCCCAAACACGCAACCTGATCTCGGAGATGGTACGGTGTTCTCCATGTTTTTCACGCAACTTATGCTGCAAGTGCTGTTCACAAGGACCAGCCCTATAAAATGCACCCCCAAACATGGTTGAAACATTCACATGACAACGTCAGCAGGATGCCGCGACTCACGACAGCTCAGAGGAACCAGGCGCTAGGAAGGCTTGAAGCTGGCCACACTGCACAAGCCGTTGCCAGTCACTTCCAGGTCAACGTTCGGACCATCTACAGGCTGGTACCAACGCCACAAATGATCGCCCCCCTACTGGCAGACAAGACGACAAGACCGCCATGTTGTGCAACAACATGTGCAGAATCCCATCTTTGGGATGAAATTCAGAGGAGACTGAATAATGTCATACCAAGGCCGAACACAACCGATTTATTGTGCCAGGCCTTTCTCAGAGTGTGGTTCAAGGTGCCAATGGCCTTCATCAATCGATTGGTGCACTCCATGCATAGACGCTGTGCTGCAGTTAATGCCGCTCGTGGTGGTCACACTAGATACTGAAGTCAAGGGTCTGAATGGACTGCAAACCTTCACGTAATGTCTTGAAATGGTGCTGAGTTATTCATTGATGTGTCAAGATATTGTACCCAAAAATGTTTTTGATCTGCTTATTATGTCTATTTCTGTAATGATTTGATTACAGTGCCTATCTAATTTTGAATTCGTACAGACGTTTTTTGTTGTTGCTGAGTATATAATATTGGCCAAAATATTGTCGAAAATGTGTGAAATTGTACGTTTAATGAAGGGTGCTAGATTCACAGTGATAGTTAATCCAGGATTTGTCCTGATTATCTCAAAATCTTAGTTAGTAGCACTTATGGTTTTAAGGGGGTAATTGCCTGCGACTTAATAACCAGGGATTCGTTTTTAAAAATGTTCGAACAACGATGTAAAGATATACGGGAGTATACCAGCAGGAATGGTTCCATGACATTCGTTCTTCAAGTGGGTTATATGCTGAGTCTAAATCCTTTATCAAACCTGAATAGTATCTATCGTCTCGAACATTTATCAATCTTCGTAGAATTGTAACTATGTTCAGATGTAATAGCCATGATTTTAAGATAAAATCTGCAAGGTTTTCTAAACACCCGTATGGTGAAATTACCACTTGTGATCATTGTAACTTCACAGAAGATGAATGCCATGTACCTTTAGAATGTCCTCAATATTTATGTTTAAAATATAAATACTTACCTTTATATCTATGTTGACAACCATCAAAAGAAAAGTGTATTGCTGTTTTAACAACGAATGACGTGCAACTACTGTACAAGTTAGTCTTAATACTACAAATCAAATCAATAATAACTGTATATTTCCCACAACATTGTCTATGCATGGTATGCTGTTCATGTAGTATTGCATGGTAGCGCTGTTACTGTGTACATTACAATATATTTACATTGTATTGTCGTCCTCCGGGCCATATATACCAATAAAATCTTTACCAGTTTCTTACAAAAACATGGCCATCTATAGTTGAAGTCGTCAAAGCTGTTCAGTAACACGCATTAGCGTCTTCAGATGACGGCGCCATGTACACAAGTGAGGCTTTTATGTGAATGTGTGGACACAAACTTCCTGGTGTTATCTTCTCGATAAGATATCCTTGTCTGCCACCACCCTGAAGTGAATTAAGAAAACCCGTT